ACTCTCATTGCTAAATGTGTTGCAATCATACTTAAAAATAGTTTAAGTACTTATGTGTATGTCCTTAAAATATGTCATTCAGCATTGTCATATTTCTTATCTTCATTAAAATTATGGTACATAGGAGATATTTTTCTGAATCTTACTTTTATCCACGATGCTAACTGTCTAAGATTTATGTTGCTGCATGTTTCTCTGGTCCCATCATTTCCCTGATATGTATTGTTCCATTTCTCACTGTATCACACATAATATATCCAATCAGTCAGTGGTCGTTTGTGTTGCTTCAAGATTTCGATATGGCTCAGAGTGTTGCTGAGGATGTACTGAAAGACTCTTTTATGTACACCTGTTTACATGTTCACTTTTACAGATGGTTACAATTTTCTCCTCAAGTCATATTATCAGTTACACACCTGTGAGCAGTGTGTAACAGCTCTGTCTCATCCCTCCCAACATTTGATATCATCAGATATTTGATATTTTTGCAAATCTAATGAGTATATGACTATGACTTCATTGTGGCTTTATTTTGCAATTCTAATAACTTGAAGTTGAGCATATTTTCATGGATATTGGATATTTATTTTTTAATATCTTCTATGAAATGTGTATTCATGTCTTTTGCTCTGTTTTTCTACTTGGCTCGAATTCCTTTCTGTTGTTATTCATTTCTTGGAGTTCTTTAAGAATCCTGTGTACTAATTCATTATATTTCAAAGTTCTCTCTTTTACACATCTCATTTTATTTGACAAATAGAAACTTCTCAAGAAAGTCAGATATCTGTCTTTATGAGCATGTTTAGCACTTGTATGTCTTACTTAACAAGTCATTTGCTATCATATAGCCAGGAAAATATCATTCTATATTTCTTCTAAACATTTCAAATGTTGTGTTTTTTTATTTTCAAATTTAACCCATTGAACATTAACTTTTGTGTACAATGATGAAAAGTTATGTTTAATTTTTGTTCTAATGTAGATAAACAATTGTCTAAGCACCATTCATCAAGTATTTCAACTTTTCCGATATTGAGTTTTCATTTATGTCTGAGTTTACTTCTGAGTTATGTGTTAGTCAAATAATCAATTTTTCTAAACTTGTGTTTGTTTATATAACTTTATAATATGTAGCTGATAGGAAATTCACTCATCATCAGTCTTTTATAAAAAGTCATTTGGCTACCTTGGGCCTATTTTGTCCATTTAAATATTAATTCTACTTGCCATGTTAAAAAACTAAAGGTAATAAAATGTTATATAGGAGTTGCATTTACACTATTGAGAAGTGAATCTTTTCATGCATGAATATAATACAATTTTGTGCTCATTTAGGTCTTTAATGCTCTTAAACTTTTGAAAATTGTGTAAGAATTTTGTTCTTTACGTCTTTTAATGAATTTCTTCCTATATATTTCTGTTATTCTTTCCCACAGACTTACTGAAAAAGATTTTATAAACACTTGTTTTTTACAAAATAAAATTAGATCTCACTTTAATTCAATACTTGACATTAATTTTGTCAATATTGACATATTTAGGCATCGATACTTTACTTCTTTATGAATTGTCTTTAAATATACTTTATCTAATTTAATTGCCATATTCAAAATGTTCTATTGACATAAAAGATTTTATGCATCATAATACAAAAGTTAAAATTTTTTCTAGATATTATTTTTTTAGTGTGGAGTGGTTATACTCTTTATTTTATTGTCGTCAATTGCATTCATCAAAGTTTATGCATTTTTAGGTCAAGATTATTTAAAAATTCATAAATGTTTTAATCTAGTTCAAATATTTTTTATATTTAGAGCTTTGAATACACATATGTGGGTATATTTTGTGGGAAGTCTTGAGAAAGAGAAAATATGTGTTTCTGTGTGTGTGTGCATATGTGTAAAGAATTTAAATCTGCCTTTCGAGTAGCATTCTGTTGCCTTAAAACCGAGCTTTTCAACACATTAAAAAAGATTGAACCTACTTTCCTAGTCCGATATGTCATATTTACTATATTTATAGTCTCAATCCTTGTGATCTATTTCTAGGCTATTTTCCTTTGATGGTTAATTATTCCTAATCCAATACACCATTACTTTAGAAAATTTAAATGGATCTTGATATCTAATAAGAGCCTACCACTCAACATTTTCTGTTTCAAAGAATTATTTTTTGCATAAGTATTAAAATAGTTTCAGAGGTCTTAGAAACTTATGAAGATTTTTACTTATACTATATTAAATGTGGAATTAGTGTGGAAAAGAATTGCTATCTTGATCATACTGAATACCTCTATCTAAGAACTGTAAAAGTATCTTTATCTAGGTCTTTAAGATTCTTCAGCAATTCTTCTGGTTTCTTTTTCTTTTTCTTATTTATTTATTTGTTTATTTGTTTGTTTATTTATTTATTTAAATTTATTGGGATGGTATTTGTAACCAAAATGATTTAAGTTTCAAATGTAGAATTCAAGAATACATCATATATGTGTTTTTGTCAGAAACGTTTTTCACATTTTTTGAACTTATTTCCATATATTTTGTAATTTGTGTACATTAATAAAAGGTATCTTTTCCTCATTACATTTTAGATATAATTCTGGCTAGGACTCGAGAATGCTAGTAATAAATATTTATCAGTTTAATCAATTCAGTCTTTACCGACCTCTCTTATCGAATATGATTTATTTTCAGTTAATTCATTTGGATTATTGCTGAGTAATGAAGATATCTTCTTAATGATTTTTCTTTCTAATATCTTGTAATACTTCATAACATATTTCTTCTTATCGTATTATTATTTAATAGAATAAAGCATGAGATAACTGACTAGAGGAAACTTTGACTTATTATTTGCTTTAATGGGGATGCTTGTGGTATTTCCCCACTAAAAAATGTATTTACTAAAAGTTATTATCCCCACTTGTCATTGTCCTAAAAGGAACAGATATTACTCTTCAAAGGAACTGAAAACTACTTGCAAGAGTGTGCAAGATTAAAGGATTAAAAAAAAAAATAGTGAAATACCCAGTACTTGTAGCAGTGGGAATTACTACCCTAATTATGAAGGGGCAAAAGGAGATTTTTTTTTCCGCAATGCTTGATGTATCTATTGATACATGATCATAGGATTTTTATCTTTCAGGTTGTTAATGTGGTATATCATATTAATTGATTTGCTGATATTGTACCAAGCTTGTATCCCAGGAATAAATCCAACTTGATCATGCCGTATGATATTTTTAATGTATTGCTGAACTAGGTTTGCTAATATTTTGTTGAGGATTTTGCATCAATGTTCATAATGGCCTATAATTTTCTTTTTTTGTAATGTCTTTGCTTTTGTAATCAAGATAACGGTGGCCTCATAAAAGGAGTTAGAGAGCCTTCCCTCTTCTTGAATATTTTGGAATAGTTTGAGAATAGGTGTCAATTCTTTGAATATTTGGTAAAATTCACTTATGAAGCCATCTGGTCCAGGACTTTTGTTTTTCTGGGAGTTTTTTGATTACTGATTTGGTTTTGTTGGTGGCAATCTTTCTGTTTCTTCTTGACTAAGTCTTGGGAGGTTGTATGTTCCTAGGAACGTATCCATTTCTTCCAGATTGTCCAATAATTGCTCATAGTATTTTCTTATGATCCATTGTATTTCTGTGGAGTCTGTAGATATTTCTCCTCTTTCATTTCTGATTTTTTTTTTTTTACTTGAACCCTCTTTTTCTCTTGATGCGTCTAGTTAAGGGTTTTTCAATTTTGTTTATCCTTTCAAAGAATGAGCTCTTGGTTTAATTCATCTTTTCTATTGCTTTTTTAGGCTTTATTCATTTATTTCTGCTCTGATCTTTGTTATTTCCTTCCTTCTACTCACTTTGGGCTTTGTTTGCTGTTCTTTATATGGTTCTT